AATGTGGGTGCAAAAAAAATCATAGCGAAGGCGGAGAACAGAAACATGAAAAGAAGTTGTAGGTAACATAATGCGTCAGCAGACGAGGGTATGGCACAGACATAGACCAACGGAAAAGTTCAGTGCCCTGTCATCGAACCAGAAGTCTAATTGTCACGCAGCCAGACTGTGATAAATTTACGTTAATAATATAAACTCTGTTTTCCCGCTCACAGAAGGAATGGTCTATGAGACAAATGTTTTGACAAACAGTATGTTGAACTGCTGTTTTTGACTTGACCCTATCTGTACGTCGTCTTTCACTTTCGTATCCATACGACGTAGGGAACTCTGTGCCCCCACTTCTTTGAAGAGCAGTCTGTCAAAAGGATTTTTTGAGAAATACTTAAAGTTTCAAAGAGATCTTCGCACTGGAAGTATTCTAAAATTACAAAATTACCCCAGGGCGTACTGATAGGGTTAAGCTATGTTAAGATGTTTACAGTAAGTGAACAAATTATGGACAGGCGTGCCCAATTTCGATTTTTGTTCAGTCCAATGTTCTTTATATTATTATTATTATTATTATTATTATTATTATTATTATTATTATTATTATTATTATTATCATCATTGTTATTTTCTTGTCTCAACTGCTTGACTGCAAAGATTCAAAAAGCTGTTCTGTCGCCAATTAAGCGTATTAATTTTGTTTGCTCTAATGGAAGGACTCCCGTAATGAGCGACCATCCTAACAAACACAATAAAGAATGGACCTAACCCTACTCTCAATCAAGACCCTAACCCTAACCCTAACCCTAACCCTAACCCTAACCCTCGCCTAAACTCTAACCCTACCCCTACCCCTTCCCCTACCCCTACCCCTACCCCTAACCCTATCCTAACCGTAACCCTAACCCTAACCCCAACCTTAACCCTATCCCTAACCCAACCCCTAACACTCACCGTAACTTTAAACTTAACCCTAACCCTAACCCTAACCCTCTATCTATTTCACAGTGTTCGCTTGCTACGGAATCCTTCCCGCTGTGATACTGTCTGATTATTGCCCCTTCCAGGCAGACCAGAGTCTGGGCAGGCCACTTTCTAAATAATGATTGTCTGAAACATGTCGACGATAGCATACAATATGAACATTCGCCTTACCTGTACTGTATTATGAGAAGTTGCGGTGCATCAAAAACGTTCAAAGAAAAAAGAAAACCGAAGAGGTCTGGGGGACGTTGATTCTGCTTTCTTCTTTACTACATTTCTTATTACGAGTAGTTTTACAACCTGCTATTCCTCTAAGTATACCCCATCCCTCCTGCCTCCTACTCTCCTCCTACTCTTGCCTCAACAAAGAAGAGATCTTGCAACCAATATCTTTTAACTTGAAAAGTAAAAGGTTAGCGCCTTCTCCCTCGTTCCCACCCTCCCCCCTTCCCGCCCCACATGTCTGATAGTTACTTTTCCATCCCCGTACAACTATCATTGTATCTACCTTCGAGACTTAACGTGCAGGATAGACTTTAGTTTGGTGAGAGTTTTAGGGAGCGTGCAACTGCATAAGGATAGATCTATATGAGCGCAAAGGAAAAATTTTCAGTAAACATAAAGTATGTCTATTCGCATCATGATTCATTTGCATATTATATCTAAGCGCATCACCTAGATCACAGACAGCTTACTGGCGTCTGTGGTGTAGCGATCAGGCACTTTGAAGTCGCACGCAGAAGACGATTCCCGTGCTAGGAGAGCTTTTATCGAAAATCTCCACCAACATTCTACTGGGACGTTGGAGACGCTCGGCTGACCCTAACAGACAGGGTTGAAGTAGCCCGCCTCCTAAATTATTTCAACTGTGTCGATGAGGACGTAAGACAACTACTTTACAAAAAAAAAGCAAAAACGACACACAAAAAACACTTTAAAAAACTCGCCTTCCTGTTTCCTGTTACTTTAAAATTTCCAATAA